TTGAAACGACAACAACTATACATGCCGGTAATATGCACGGTGTTCGCAATCAAATTCGAGATTCACAGATACATGCTCGTTTGAAAGCTGATTTGGTTGAAAATATTTGGCAAAAGTTTGGTAATCAACATTAATAATATTTGTATGTTCATGACTTATCAATGTATCTTATCAATGTATTGAATAAAACTTGTTTTATAAAAAAAAAAAATTATCAATTTCATGTTCATGACTTCTTTAAAAAATTACATTATCAATTTCATGTTCATAGAATATTAACTTTAAAAAAAAAATTAATTTTCTAAAAATATATATTATTTTAATCCTAAGAACCCCATTCTCGAGTTCACTGATGGAGTTACACTTTTCACCCGGATTCAACACTATTCCTGGACCCACCAGAAATATAATAAAAAATACTTATGAACCCCAAGGGGGGGTTCATTGGTGGACTTGCTCTTAAACGGCGTTATTTCCTCGCGTGGGAACTTTCAATTTTCCGGGATCGTTAACATATTTCGGGGCTAAGCCGTCATATAAATATATAGATTTATATAACCAAATAATAATACGGCGCAACAAATTACAGTCTTAGTTATATCAGTAATATTGTAGACCCTTTTTGTCATACTGCTATAATATAGTTTCACACAATAAAATACTGGTGAAAAACAGCATAATCTATCCAAATATAATTGAAAAAATGACGAATTTATCAATTAAAAATGATTGAAAATGATGGAGTACAATGGGATTAAGTGGTCTAATTATGGAAAGAGAAAGCTTATACCAATAATGATGATATCGAATAGAAACCAGCACGAACGACTATAGAAGCACGACCTGAGGTAGCTATGAGTTATTGAAAATAAGTTGTCACCGAGCGAATTAGATTCTGTGAAAAAGTTACAGATAGATCATCAGTTTTTCCTTATACAAATAAAACTTAAATGACTCGTAAAAAAAAATCATTGTGTATTAGGCGTGTTACAACTTACAAGAATGTCGACGAACAGGTGCACATGTAACCATGTGACAACTTTCCAGTAAACAAAGAAACTAAACAAAAAATACAGCGAAGTCGTCTTTTGTGATGCCGAGTTATCGTAGCCCCCACTTAACAACGACGTTGTATAGGTTTATCATCAATGGTGCTTATATTTTTATAAATTACTAATTGAGCAAAACAAAAACAAAAACTCTATTTTCTTAACTTTTTGCAGGGTTTTAGATATACATATTTATTTGGGCTTGTTTGTGTAATAGTAAAAAAAAATTAAATAGTTTTGTAGGGAGAAGTTAGAAAAAGATAGAAAAACAAACTAGAAAAAGTGATTTTGGATAATTAAAGATTTTATGTTTGTGTGTGGTTATATGGCATAATTGCTCTACGTATTTTCCAATTATTGAAGTTGTGTTAGAGCAACTTCTAAAGTTTTTATAAGCTGAAAAATAATTTGTTTATTTATTAAAATAAATTAACCACTTGGAAGAACATAAATGACAAAACGGATTATAATAAGACAGAGAACAAAAATCTTTGTACACAACTAGTTCTCCTCCTCTCTCTGCTATTGTATAGGTATTTTATTTTTAGTCTTAGAATCTCCTATTACAAATGATATTGGAGATGCTCTTAGCTTTACAAAATTTAGATTTGAATTTGTTAGACATAAGCCACTTCTAAATTTTAAACGTAGACATTATAGTTGTATAAAAAAATCAATCAATTTAGGTATAAATTACGGTTTTCATAATGCCAGTTAGAATTCAGATTTACCTACGAAAATTACTGGCGCTTAATAGTGGACTTTGCATCAGACCTAAGGAAATCAACTTAGAGAAAATCAATCTTAAAAATTCAAATATTTCTATTTTTAAAGATTTTTGTAAATTAAAGTTTAAATTTTCCCCGTTTTTTTTAGAAATATGATTTAAAAAAACGGAATGACTTAGCATGTTTAGTGCTGATTTTTGGTTAAAAACAACATCAATTTATAGACTTCATAAGTGTAATTAATCCTTTGGAATTCAACATATGTATTAAGAAAATTTGTTAAATGATCATTTTCTCATGAGTTACGTACATACACTCAAGAGCCATGGAAACCTAATTGTCAGTGAATGAACATGTAAATAAAACAAAATCAAAGAAAGATCCAAAAATAACACTGACTCGTATGTCCCCCATTCTTACTTGTCAACCGTCTCGCTTTAGCATCTTCCAGGCAGCGTCACGAGCCGTTTCTCTGTTCTATATAAAATTATAAATCTTATCACGAGACATATTCTGCATTATTAGTATTTAAAAAATAATAATTTTTACTTGCTGAGGTGGTTTCATTTTTATTTACGTCTCCGTCACTCTTTCGCCCTATCCACTAAATACAGATCCCAAAAACAAAAACACATAGGTAAAATAAGAAAAAAGATTCGTCCCTTTGTTCCTAAGCGATTATCTGTAAAATTTCCTTCGTTTTCTCGCATTATCTTTCTCACCAAATGGTCCCTTATATTCCACTCTTTCTTTCTCTAACATTCAAAGCTTCATCTTCTGTTTAACTCCACCATTAATATTACATTCTCTCATTTTCTCCGAGCAGACCACGAAAAACGATGACTAACCTCTCACGTTCAAAGTCCACCGGAACTACCATGTTTCCGGATGCCAAAGCTGCCCGACCCGGTCCAGACATATATGAGAATATCCACCACCACGACTACGACTACGAAGAAGAACATAGCACTACAAGCACAGACTACTATGACGTATCCACGCCCTTGAGCTCACACGGCTCGAGATCCGAACCCGGTTCGGGTCAATACACGATCCTCGACATTTTTGCGGCGGTGCTGAAGAAGTCGCTTGTGATGTCTTGTACTATGGAGAGAGGTGATGATGATGTGGCGGCGTCTATGGATATAGGTTGGCCAACGGAGGTTAAGCACGTTAGTCACGTTACTTTCGACCGGTTTAGTGGTTTTCTCGGTCTTCCCTCTGAGCTCGAACCGGAGGTCCCTCCTCAAGCTCCTAGCGCCAGGTCTGTTAATCATTATTAGCACAAAAGATTAGTAGTATAAAGTACTTTGAATTCAATTATGAGATTTTCTTTGAGATATTAATTTCATATCTCTTGAAAATATATTTATTATTTTCTTAGCTGGAAATCTGTATATGACATGTTACTGTGTTGGATAGAATCATTAAGATGGTTGTTGCTTCGATTAAATGCATGAATGCGACATACGTTTGTTCACAGAAGAAGATTCTCTTACCGTTTTTTTAATACAAGATTGATCAAGCGTCTGAAATTTGTAAGAACCGAATATTTTATAGAAAAAAGTCTAGGTATAAACTTTTGCAAAAAAAGGAAGTTTAGGTATAAATATCGGTATGATATAGGTTATGGACTTACATGGGTTATTTTCCAATAAATGCGACTAAGAATATATTATTGATAGATACCCAATACATATCTTATTAGTTAAAAAAGAAAAAATAGAAAGAAGGAGAATGTTATTTATTTGTTTAGATAATACTCCCTCTGTTTCATTATAAGTGTCACTCTACAGTTGTGCACACGGATTAAGAAAACAATTAATTTTACATATTTCCTATATAAAAACACAGTTACCCATACACCTAACCATATTTTAACCAATAGAAAAACAAATTACATAATAAAATTAATAAATTTTGCATTGAAAACTGAAAACGACACTTATTTTGTAACGCAAAAAATTCTCTACAACGACACTTAATATGAAACGGAGGGAGTAAATTATAAGCAAATCATCAGTTTTATTAAAATATTAATATTATTAAATTTAAATGTCAAGTTGAACGAAAATGTTCCGAGAGCATAATCAATAAAACATTGTAGAAAATCCATACGCCACAAATGTAATTTTAGTAATTATTTAGTCATTTTATTTATGGATCTCAACAAAATGGGGGCCACGTAATTTGTTTTTAAGGAGTATTGGTAGAACTTGTAGATTGTCAGTAGATAGATTTGAGAGGGACTAGAGAGATTAGTTGTTTTCCACTGATATGGAACATATACGTTTCTGTAAATGCTTTATCTTTATCATCAAATTTTTGAGTTTTCATTACTGCTCATATAGAAAATGTTTTTAATGATCGAACTATGGATTTTTCACTAAATTGGTTTGTCTAGGCATCACAGTATTTTATTCTTGCTAGTTATCTAAATTGGCTTGTCTAGACATCACAGTTTTTTTTTTTGTTTCTTTCTATTCTTCAGTGTGAGTGTCTTCGGAGTATCAGCAAAGTCAATGCAATGCTCTCACGACAACAGGGGAAATAGCGTCCCAACGATCCTTCTCAGGATGCAGAAACGTCTTTATTCCGAAGGAGGTCTTAAAGTAAGCCTCTACTCTCTTCTTACTCGTAATAATTTGGATTACTTTCGGATCAAAACAATTCTAATATTATATGTGATTATTTCTTTGCCTTAAAGGCAGAAGGAATATTCCGAATAAATCCAGACAATGGCAAAGAAGAGCATGTCCGAAGGCAGCTGAACCGCGGTATAATACCACGTGGAATCGATGTTCATTGCTTGGCGGGTTTAATAAAGGTGTAAAAAAGAACAATTATATCTCGTTTCTCCAACATTAGTTTAGGTTCAAATGGTCTGATCTTCTTTTTTTGTTGAAACAGGCCTGGTTTAGGGAGCTACCAACAGGAGTGCTTGATGTGTTGACACCAGAGCAAGTGATGAAATGTAACACAGAAGAAGATTGTCATAAGCTCGTGACTCTTCTTCCTCCGGTTGAATCTGCGCTTCTTGATTGGGCCATTGGTTTAATGGCTGACGTGGTGGAGTATGAGCAGTTTAACAAAATGAATGCACGCAATGTAGCTATGGTTTTCGCTCCAAACATGACCCAAGTAAGTAAACAAAATGCTTTTCCCGGCCGTTAATGAAGACTTTTGATATTTCAACTCTCATGAAAATGTTTTGTTATTGTAGATGGCAGATCCATTAACCGCATTAATCCACGCGGTACAGGTGATGAACTTTCTCAAGACTTTGATCTTAATGAACCTCAAAGAGAGGGAAAACGCAGATGCCAAAGCAAGGTGGATCGAGAAAAAAACATCAGATCCATCAGAAGAATGGGAATCACAACACTCTAAGATATTAGCCCCTGAGAAACCCAACTATAACCCTAAGTTTTTGAGAGTGGCTACTCTTTGTAGGCTAGAGGCTGACAATGAAGAGAAGTTTTGGAACATTGAGAAGAGAAACGATCATAAAGAAACAATTGAAAATACTGGAACTGTTCAGAGGCCGTCTAAGCAGCGATTGTTTCAGTTAAGCAAATCTACAAAGAAACCTCTTGTAAGTAATCAAGATGAAGGAAGAAGAGGACAAGATGCGTAGGGGTTCACGTCTCTTTTCTTTGCCTTGGTAAATTTTACTATACCTCCCTTTCGTTCCTTTTCTGCTTTTGAGAGTGTAAAAAAATGTATTGTGAAGTATGATTCTAGGTGTTACATGTTGGTTGAACTCTTAGTTTATTCATACCGACTCCGAGTGGTGTTCATCTAAAATTTAACAGAAAAAATGAATCCTTGACCAATATGCACGTGATATATTATTTCTGGTCGGATTCTTTTTAAAAGAGATATTCGATTCTTAGAAAAAATCCTAATCTGTTCCACATTGGCGAGTAAGCTAATTGGGAGTGGTTTCAGATTGTCATGTCTACTCTCATTAGATTATTATTGATTTCAGTCAAAAAAAAAATCAAGAATGATCTTAATATTTTACCGAAAAAGTATTTTCAAGAATGCAAGTCTATCTTTCAACTTCAACCCTCTCATGCAACCACATAACAGTAGCAAGGAATTTCTGGCTATGATAGTGAAAGATACGTATTCATCTCCCAAAAGTAGACGAGACATTTCAAAATTGAAATAGTGAATGCAAGAAATACAAGTGAAATTCATCCTCGTCCTTCCATGTGACATTATTTATTGCTACTGGGGTATCAATTAGTGGAAATTTATAG